TGTCTGAACTTGGAAACAATGTATATCTGGAATATTTCAGTTGCTTATGGTTTAAATAAATGTCAATCTTTCCAATGAATTTTTACAAAGGGCCAATTGAATGCAAATGCATTCAGAGGAAAATGTATAAAGATACATATCTGAGAAAAAATGGTGATGTGATGGGTTGATTTATAAACAAAAGTAGGATTTTGAGTATGCCATCACATAACGTAAAAAAACATCTACTACACATGGTATAACTGTAATAAATATGATTTAACTCACACTCAAACATCACAGCGATGTTTCCAGGGTCGACTGCATGCCTGAAAATCTAGAAACATAATATTCAAACTATTTTATTGAGCTTCTCTTTTTTATAAATGATCATTTATTTGTTTGTACGGTACAGTTGTTGTATTATGCCATTCTAAGCAGGCACTTCTCAGCTAACATTACTGAGAATGACAATTACTGTAATCACACATTTCTTGTATTACACTTTAGCTAACATTACCATTCAGATTATTCAAAACTCACTTTGTACTGTGTTATTCCCAGACAGGTGATGAGTAACGACTTGCCTTTTCAAAGGTCATCCTCTGGTGCAGCAGCAGAGGGAAGACAGCGGGCCGACCCTCAGACTGACGGGCCTGACCCATGAAGCTCATGCTAAGGCAGAGGTCATCTTTATCTGGCAGGTGGACTTCAGGACAGGACACCTTAGAGCAGTACAGGGACATTATATTAGTCAGATTCAATTATGACCTGTACTACTGCTGCCTGTGGCGTTTCTCACTGGCTGCTAGTTGAGGGTGTTAACGTCGCACATTATTGAAGGCCACTTCTGATTAGGTCTAGCAATCATTCCGGCCTCTAGTTCACTCTTCATTCATATCTTATTTCCTTCTGATGCTGCTTGAATGTTGGAAAAATCTAAATATTATTTAAACAATGTCTGTTAGAATAATGTATTCTGTGTGGACAAAATATCTTCACATTGCAATACAAGACTCACACTTGTGCTTGCATATACCTTCTGCGTCTCAGATGTATTCACATGGCCCTGTCCCTGAAAATAAAGGTTGAATTATTTTTCTTTTATAAATGTTTACATTTTCAGATCATGGTGTTCAGCTTCTCCTACTGTCACTCATTCTGAATAAAAAAATGTAAGAGTCAGTGTTAAAGGCTGCATTAAAATATTTTACATGTAAAGAAATCATTGATAGCCTACTTTCAGCCTATTGCACTGGTGTAAAGTAACGCACTTTATACTTTTACTCCACTACATCTGGAAGCAAATATTGTACTTTCTACATTTTTAGTGACTAGTTACTTTGCAGAATAAATTTTTTTAAATATAAAGAAGAATTAAAATAGAACCCACATGTGCCATGTCTAACATTAAAGGTCCCATGTAATGGCAATTTCTACTGATCATAATTCCATTGTTGTTCCACTAGAATAGATTTACATTGTTCAATGTTCCAAACTCACATTGGCTTCTCATACAGCATCTTTTGTCACCTAGTGATCGTCTTCTCAATAGAACATCTTTGATAATGTCTTCTGGCCAATCAGAATCAAGATAACGGCGTAGTGTTGCAGGAAGTCCCGACGGAGAATACTTTTGCTGTAGTACATCTCTATATACATCGATACAACATTACGTATTGATAGAAATCAACACGTAATGAAATAAGACCCCACGGTTTGATGATTGATAGGTGTGTGGGCTGTCTTTCATTTTGACACACAGAACAATGGGGGCTATCCGCCCTTATCCACAATGTAAAGTAATTCACACAGCCTCTTCCCTCTCCTCTCTGTGAGGAGCAGCAGGTTCAGCTTTCAGAACAAAGTAACAAAAGACTAAAATGGCATTCATTTTTTAAAATATGTCGTGGAGTAATAGATTTATTTATTTTCTTCTCAAGAGAGTCCCAGAATGTGTATTTTATGTTAGTATTTCAAAAAATCTCCTGGGGGAGAATCCCCCCAGACCCCCCTGCAGGGGTTGGGTTTTCAGCATGTCAACTCTTTCACCTGTGGGGAAATTGCAGGATTGGCTCCAGGTCGCCCTTTTTATTTACTACAAGACAAATGTGCCTTTTTATTTCATACAGTTCAATTTGGATTGAGACAGGGAACTAATCTAAACCTCACGCGTTGCGTTTCACTGTCAAGGGGAGCGTGTATCTAATTACATTGCCAATACTGACTTGAGCCCCACCACTGTATGGGTCTACCATAGATTACCCAACACAAATACTACTCTGGAGCCGCAACTGCCGACCCGTATTGCGCATGCGCAGATCTAAGATCCAGTAGAAATTATAAAAAAGTAAAAGTCTGCTGCTTATTGTTCTACTAGGCCAAAATAGTCAAAGAGTATATGAGAGTGAGAGTGTGTTAATTAATATATTTGGCAGTTTGTAGTAAGTCTGTAGATTTGTTTGTGTGTGTGTGTTTCATAGGCCTCTCGCAATAATTAATTTTGTTGGGTACATTTTCCCGGAAATTATTGCGATAAACGATAATATTGTCGGCACCGTTGTATGACCATTTTAGACCACTGACATAATGATAATATATAATAATAATTCAAGTACATCCTTTCAAACTGCTAGTCACATCCTCATGTAAATGGCAATTTATCGAGTTCAGTTTGATTTCTCGTACGATAAGTCAATTAATTGCTTATCGCGACAGGCACACAATAAAACAGTGGAAACAAACATGTGTTTGACTTTCATTAGTGAATGAAACTGTGTGCCCTTTATAGTCTGTGTCCAATATTGTGTATTTGTATATATTGTATATATATCCTATATATATGCTAAGGTCCCGCTGCTGACACGATAGCAGTCATTTCGTGCTCATATGTGTAATTAAACCCATGATATCAAAATCTCACTCCAGCCAGGTACCCAAAGTTGGCAACCCTGGATACAGTATGTCTCTTAGTGCTAACTTCTCTGTGTTTTAAATGACATCCAATTAGTTCGATTACTCCTTTATCTTTTTTCGATGTGTTACTTCTTAAATCCCTGCATGCTTATGATATTTTAGAATTTTGTTCCAATTGTTGAAGACAATTGTGGTCATTGGCTACCAGTCAGAAATACATACATGATATCTAGATGTTAAATGTGTTGTATGTGAAGAAGTAGTAGTAGTTAATACAATACAGCAACAAACATCTGTTCGTCTGTCCTCTTTTCTCCACCTTCCATTCTTCCTTTAGCTTTTGTCCGTTTTTCTTCCTTCTCTCAGTTCCTTGTCCTGCACATGCTCACGTGTGTGTGTGTGTGTGTGTGTGTGTGTGTGTGTGTGTGTGTGTGTGTGTGTGTGTGTGTGTGTGTGTGTGTGTGTGTGTGTGTGTGTGTG